CAGGAAACTGTAAGCTATGAACTTAGGTCCTGATACTGGGCGTCAAAGTCAACATGAGGGGTGATACTGCCCACAGTGGGATATCAAGTCTCGAGCAATTCTGTCACCATGGCAACGACCTCAAGGTCACCCCAATTGAATCTGTGGTCGCACCCAATTGTGTGCGAAAAGATGAGCGACATGTGATCTTCGCGACGGACAGATAGTTTTTGGTCGTTAGTACATATGTCCAGGCGTCTGCCTGTATACCCAAAATACATGCAGAAGCAGTTGGCGCATGGGATACAGTAGATTACGTTTATTTGTTACTCTTTTGGGATGGGGTCCTGGTCTCGAGATAGTGCTGCGCGTACTGGGAATGCTCGCTTGTGTGCAATTTGATAACCATGGCGACTTAACTGCCGGAAGATTATTTCAGAAGTTGCCTGCACGTAGGGCAGGAAGTGGAATTTCCGTGGCAAAATCTCTCTGTTGTGGTTGGAACCTTGCGGTTGTGCTTGAGGCCTAAAGCAGGTTTTTACAAAACTGATCGGATACCCTTTAGCTCCAAACAACCGAAACAGGTTAGCAAGTTCTTTTTTTACATAGATCGTCGCCGTTGCAATGGCAGTATGCCTGGTGGAGCAGAGTTCGGACGCAGCTTTTTGTGAGCAGCGGGATGGCTGCTTCCATAATTTACGATAGCATCAGCATCGCATACTTTCCTATGCACGCTTGATGCGAGGTTACCATCGCTCAGCTTTTGAAGCATCATGGCCGAAAACGGCAGTCTTCTACTGCTCCTTTAAACTGTAAACTGTATGGCCGAGAAGGCATCATTTAGCATCAATGCTGATCATAATATGCGCAGCAGCCTCGCGATATGTGCACATACAGTTGAACGTCGGTCAGCGGGTTTAATCCGTCCCAACACCGATCTTGTCATGTAAAACGCTCTTCCGGCGAAAAGTGGCCAATCAGAATGCATCAGTTCACTGACTGGCTGCAGGTGACCGGGGGTCCACGCCCTGGGAGCTAGACCCAATGACGAACACAAACACAGACACGCACTTATAACTCGCTAACTAAGCAGAAGCTCGTCAAACAAAATGTTTCTGCAAGTGGCTCGCTCGTTAACTGAGATGTTCGTAGATGGAGCTGCTCGTCACCCGAGGTTCCACCGTATCGTTAGTTTCTTGTCTAAAGCCGTCCGTGGGATAAACGGACCTTTCTGAGATGTAGAGCCTTGTTCCCGTATAAAATGCTCAACATTTACGATCATCTTCTGGACTACCAGTTGACTACTCATGTCATTTCCGGGTCCTCCTACCTTACAGGATATCTACTCCAAGTTGCGCGGTGAACTGAGTGGCAACTTTCAGGATGCTGTACTGATGTCCTTCCGGGACAAGGCCCACATCAACGCCTTAGCGCTGTACAATGCCATCACTGGTATGGGTACCAATGATCGTGTTGTCATACAGACTATCTGCGCCTGTGACAATCAGGAGATGGAAGACCTGAAGAAGGCCTACGAAGACAGTAAGTGCATATCTACCTAAGAGATGAATTAAATTTGTCCCATCGCGGCATGAACAGAGTTGAGATCATAAAGTGTCATTGTGCCAGTGTTGAAACCGACCAACCAGAGGGATTGTACTGACCTACTAAACTAAATTGCCTTTAACAAACTTGTCACGTTATTTTGTCTGAACTGTTTGTTTTAATGTGACAAAAACACGCCTGTATGGTAACCGCGGCGCCGCTTGCTACCGACATGAAGGTTGTTCGACAGCTTATTTAGGTCTAAAAAGTTAATATTGCGAAATGTTGAACAACCTTAATGTCGGTAGCAAGCGGTGCCACGGTTGACACTCAGGCGTGTTTTAAAAAAATAAAAACAAACATTTCAGACGCGAAAACGTGACGAGGTTGTTAAAGGTAACTTAGTCTAGTATGCCAGCACAGGATAACGGCACTGAAGGCGTACTTTTCAGGTGTCGTAATTTCTAAGTCAAGCTGTTCCTTTCATGTTTTACTGAACATCACTTATGGCCGATAAGCGGCAACAACACTCTAATCGTTCGCTTTTATGTGTATGCAGCTTATGGTAACTGCCTTGTTTTTT